TTTTTTTTTTTTTTTTTTTTTTTTTTTTTTTTTTTTTTTTTTGGTACCAGGGATCGAACTTGGAACCTTGCACTTGCAAGGCAGGTGGCAGCACCCCTGAGTTAAATCTCTGGCCCTGTACTTCTTTTATATTAATAAAAATAAAAATTAAAGAAAAGAGTTTAAGTTCAAAGTCACCCTATTTGATAACAACTTACAATTTTGTGAGGACAACGTATATGAAACAGGTGACCTGGCACATTTTAATTTGTAGTTCCCTTTCCTTTTATCACACCCCACTGAAGACAAATAATTCTGCCAGCTATAATCGCAGATACAGGAAATACTTTCACTGGGAACGTGCCCGGTGCATCGCGGCCAACTGGGTGCATACCTGATGAGCCAGTGATGTCCATTGCCTTCAGATTCCTGCACTTGATGACTGTCAACGTCATTCGCCCGGCAGTTGGCAAATAGCACAGGGAAAACATGATTTCGCCCAGGTCTATACTTTCCTAGAAAGGTAATTAGTAATATTAGCAATTTCAAGCACCAAGTGGCAAAAACAAAATGAAATGGAAGAGAATGAGTAAAACGTTACTTTGATGGAATATTGCAATGTCATTTTAATTAGCTCTATTGAAGACACAGATACTACAAGGAAACTGTTCCAAAGGGAATACGAAGAAAGTATATGCCAGCTGCTTATCTGACACCTACACTTGTGTTTGTACCAAAAACTTAACACACAGCCAGATTGCTGATTACTCCCATTCCCCATCATCTGCACAAGCCAATTCATTACTTTTTCATCAGCAAATGGCATCAAAATTTGCCCGCAGGCTCAAGCCAATAGACGAGCAGTCCCTTTCCTCTTTTCCCCTCATCCCTGAGTCTGACTCATGGGTGGATCTTGTTAATACTATCTACAGAATATATTACTCATCGGTGACTTTCTTTTCGTCTCTATTTCTACCATTCAAGCTATGATCACCTCTTGTCAAGATTACTTTATTAGCCTCTGCGATCCCATCCCGGAATTTCATCTTCACATAGCATTCCAAGTGGGCGTGTATGAAATGTAAATCAGATTATATCACTCTTTTGCTTAAACTGTACTAGAATAAACTTCAAATGCCTTAGCCTGGCACATAAGTGGAGTCACTGTCAGTCCTGGTGTGCTGCCTGGGAAGTTCCTGATTCTCACTGTTGTCTTTGTGTGATTATTCAGAGCCTTGCCTTCCATTCTTATGTGTGTCTTTGTTCAGAAAACACAAAGTCCGATCAGACCCTGTCATCTGGACCCCACCTTTCTGCACAATGCACCAGCCCTGATGCAGACACAGAAGCATTTCTTCTGTTACACAAAATGAGTGAAGTCTGTTACTGCGCCTGGGCATTCACATCTCTTGAAAACTTTTTTTCCCTTATTTGTCTAGATGACTTCTCACCATGCAGGTCTCTGTTCGGTAAGGCCTTTCCCTGTTGTTTAGTCTAAGGCAGCAGCCTTCCTACCCACACCGACCCGCTCCCAGATCCTTCACATTTTTTTTTCTCATTGAGTTTATTGGTACTTTTTAGTTATACAGTTAGATCCTAGATCCTTCACATTTTTTTTTCTCATTGAGTTTATTGGTACTTTTTAGTTATACAGTACAGTTACATTCATCATTGGGATCTTGTACTTTTACGTGACAGATCTTGGTTCTCATTTTTTCCCCTCCTCCCTTCCCCATTTACAAACACTTTGTTTCCATTTTTTCCTCTTCTCATATTTTTTCTTTCCCCTTATTTCCTTTCCCCTACCCTTCTCACTTCCCCTACACCTTTATCCCTTTTCCTTCTATTTCACATTGTCAATTATATCATTTGGATCTTATTTACACTTTTAGTTTTTCTTAACATTTATCACTTGCAAAATCATCTTTAAGATTTTTAGGGTTTTTTTTTGCTTTTACATTTCCTGACTTTCACACATAACATCCAAGACAGACAGAGTTCCTGCATATCTTATTTTCTGTGACCTACTGAAAGGCATGGTGCATAGCTGGTTCTTAGTACCTGTTTTTTGAAGAAACGAGTAAATTTTTTAATCTGGATAAAAATTGACCCATTTTGTCTCAGTTATAAAGCAGAACCATCCACAGTACCCTGATACAGATTTATATACTGTCTGTATTGCAAAGACATCTTTATGGTATAGGAAAATTAAAATGAACGTGGACAGTAGACAATTTAACATGGCTCTCAAAGAGTTACTTATAGAATTTAATCAAATATTCCTAGTCAATCTGAGGTAGATTTGTTTGGGGGGAAAATATGTTGCTGATTATGCATTCAGCACTACGGTCTTGCAACTTTTCTATGCTGTACTGTGAATCAGCCTTGCTATTACGGCTCAGGTTCTGATTGACATAATTTCTACTCCTTTATTTATAGTCTAGAAATAGCAGAGTCTAGTAATCAAGGGTGTAAACTTCAGCAGTGGTTAAACTGTGATTTGATTCCTAGCTTTGTCCTTTCTGGCTGTGAGATGCTAGGAAATTTAATTAAGCTTTGAATATCTGAGACGTCATTTTCAATCTGAGTATAGTACATGCTTCACAAAGTAAGAATTAAATGTGATAAAAAAGCTCAAGGCATTGAACCCAGAGTCCAGTGTATGGGATCCCAAGATGTCACAGGTTCATGGATCTATTGCTAGCACATATCAGGTGCTAAATAGGTACTATAATTGGAAAAAGTTAATAAATGGAAGTATCTATTGTTTAGGAAAATTAATAAAAGAAGTATCGGAGAACAAAGGCTCATATTTCCAAATGAGTCTTCTTTGGGCCGCTGGATTACTGCACACTAAAGATAGTAAGCAAGATCTCATAGAAAATGGCTGAGGAAAAGCAGGAAGATCAACTAAGGAGGAGGTTTGCTCTTTTCACCACCTGAAAATGACTGTGCTTTAGCTGCCAGATGGAGTGAGAGCTGCTACGGATAGAAAGATGAACATAGCATGCATCTGCCCTGAAAAATTTCAGTTGAGAAGAAAGAGAATTGGCTACAGAGAGCTAAGAAAATAAGTCTAAATCCCATTTTTATCTAATGTTTCTGTTTCTTTCCCAAAGTACTTTTTTCTATCAGTGGTTGTCATTTTCTCTTATTGGGTATTTTTACTTTCAGTTATTAGCAATAAACACAGATATATTCTGTTGCCGGCTTATCAACTTAAGGGATCTCTGGATGTAGAATATGACACCAAGTTCTACCAAAAAGCACCATGAGTCTGGTGATGGAAAAGCCAGCAAAGAAACAGGAGTGCTGATATCAGGCACGAAATGCTTAGAATCCAGCAGGCAGTGCCAGCATGTGAAAACAGAAAATAGTGCATAAACTCTTCGAAAGGAATTAACAAATAAGACACGTTCCCACTTCTGACATTTTACATCTGCGTATGAAACAGTTTTGGAAAGTAATGATTCTACTTACTTGTCTGAATATAGTATAGACTTATAGCTGAAAAAACAAATGCTCACCATGTTTGGTAACATCTCTCAGAGATCCTTTCTATGGATTTAAGTGCACTGTAATGTTGAGAATTTGCCATTGACAGATTCTGATAAACACACAGGAGTAAAATGGATGAACTGACCACAGCCCTCTCCCGAATGAGTGGGAAGTAAAAAGTACAGTTAAAGGGCATCTGCCAGCAGCTCTGTGTTACAAGCTGGTTGGCCTTAGGCCTAAAGTAGTAGTGAGAATTCTAATTAAATATTCACATTCCATGTGGCTGGAGTTTTAAGGAAAGTGGAACAGACCGGGTATTTTAAAACTAATATATGGCATGCATGCATAATAACTGTGCAAAACTTTAATGTTTCATTAGATTAAATTTTTCTTTCAGGAAGCATGAACATGAGGGGAGCAACCTGCTTACAATACTGAAAAGGGCAGAGCACTCTCTAAGGCAACGATCAGTATTCTTCAACTTTAAAACCTCAAAGTGATGTAAGAAAATTGAGAGATGACTAATGAAGGTTAAGAGGCTGCACGACCTTAAAAAGGTCCTATAACAGATGCAGGGCAGAATTCCCGGTTGGACTTGCAGCTGCTCTGAGCTGCAGAGTGTACTTGAGTGTTCCTGGACTGTCCATGCCTCCTGGGGGGTGGCCAGGCTGGGTGGCCCAAGGCCAGTGAGCAGGTAACTGCTGCCTCTTCACGGTCTGCCTCTCACTACCACAATATGGAAGGAAACACAGCCCTAACAATCCAAATTTTCTGGCATCCTGCAAAGAACCTAGAAATAAGTTGAAGGGATCTAGACATACAGCATAAAGATAAGAAAATTATATATTAAAGCTCTTTTATGTAAGGAGATTACATAATTTCTTACTCAACAGCCATTTACTATTATTTTAGACAAAATTACAAAAGAGTGTTTACATGTTAGATGAAGATGTAAATCAAAACACATACACCATGGGGATATGGGGAAATTAATAGCAGCAACAAATAACAGTACTAAAACAACAGAGATAAAAAGAAGCAAGCATTCTAAAATTAGTAACAATTTAGAATTATCCTCTTAAGAGGAAGTAATCTTTATTAAGGCTTAGTAATTGCAACTTTTAACAGTTTGCTACAAAATCAATAGAAATTAATACTAAACACGTTGGCCTGAGACATTAAGAAAATATATCCTGCATGTCTGGCTAGGAAGGCAGAGAAATAGCTGGACATGATGATGAATGCCAGTAATCCCAGCACTCTGGGAGACTGAGACAGGAGGATCTAAAGATTGAGCCTGACTTGGGAAAGTTAGCAACTTAGCAAGGATCTGTCTCAAAAACCAACAAACCAATCAACACACAAATAATTAAGAAAGATTTAGAAAAGGTGGGGATATAGCTCAATATAAAGAGCATGAGTTCAATCTTGGGGGTGAAAAAGGTAAAGAAATGTATACTATGTTTCCATATTATTTTTTACCTAAGAGGTAATTTCTGCTTAAAATGAGAAAAGCTTGGAATACCTGAAAATTTAATTGTTGTGCAACCTTAGTTTTTGCAATATTCTACAGTCATGAGTTTTGCATATAACCCTTTGAAAAAGTCTTGTATCTTTGGGCAAATAACTATTTGAAAGCCTGCCATGAAGTCTGGGATATAGTGTTCCATCAAATTTCTTTCAGGTAAGAAGATAATTACTCCATTCTCATACACATGGATTTATTTGCAAATGGTGAAAATTTACAATTTGCCTTCTGAGCCTAGATTTGGGAAAGGGGCTTACAAAGAGGCTGGGCTCAGGGCTGTACAGATGATTATGCTGGCTCCAAGAAGATCATTTTCTAATGATGGGGTACAGTCAAGCCACTCTTTACAAAATAGAAATAAAAGTCATTGGAAATATAAGTTGATATATAAACACGTACATTGTGGATCCTGCTTCAGGACTAAATGCACTGATAGTAAAATCAAGCTGTAGTGATTGAGGATAAGTGGTGGAGATGAAAGGTTTGGAA